GCGCGCCTTGGCGCAGGGACCGGCGGCGTCCGGCCCGTGGCGCAGGCGCCGTGTTAGTTAGCGCAGGAGGCGGCGGGGCGTTTCTGTGAGCGCGGCTGCCCCGTTTCGCAGTTGTAGGCTAGGCCTCCTAGACACTGCATTTTTCTGTCCCGTGCAACCGAAGTGGGATGGAGGTCGCCTCATTCGCAGCCGTGATTGAACCGCGATCCTCACCATCAGACTGGTCTCACCAATATCGAGTGCGTTCTGGAACACGTTCTCGAACGCGTCTCGAGTGTGTTCTCGAGCGTGTTCTCGGTCGTGTGCCCTCGTTGGCCGGTGTGATGCCGCTGCTGAGGGGACGCGCCCGCCGTCGCCAGGTGTCGCCGTCGGGCGGCGATTCGCTGCCGCCGGCGCGCCGTCGGCCTGGACTGGCCGCGCGCCGTGCTGACGCTGTGGCCGGTGCGGCGCGCGCCGCTGCTGGAGGCCGAGCCGGCCGACGAGCGCTCGGCGTCGCCGGCCGCCGACTCGTCCTCGTCGTCGCCGTTCGCCGGTCTGAGCGCGGCCGGCGCCGACCGCGAACCGAGCCCGTTCGGCGCCGCCGCGTGTGTACGAGACGGACGCGCACGCGCGCGGCCAGCCCGACCTCGCCTCTGGTCTGGGCTGGTGACGCCGGGGAAAGGGCACTGGGCGCGGGTCAGACGGCAGGCGGTTGGGTTGTGTGTGGGGTCGGACGGGTGAGGCCTCGGCTGGGTGTTGGGTCAGGCGAGTGTCGAGGCTGCTCGATGTTGGCTTTTTTCGTCCAGGTGGACGTGTCTTCGGTGACATTCTGATCATGCCAAGCCCGTATAAATGCGTCAGGCGCTTGGTTCTGGCTCTCCTGTCAGTCACTGCCGCTCCAGAGGTTGAGGAGCTGGTGATTCCGTACTGCTGACAGACGCATGACCTGAATTTGCGAAGAATGAGTAGCTGACGATGCCTGACAGACATTTAACCTTACCTTGCAGAGGGTGAGGAGTTGGTCATCCCAGCCGGTCGGGAAGAGGTGGAGAGGTTCATCGACAGCACGGTCGCCAACTGCCAGATGCTGCTGGAGCTCAGCCTGCCGTTGCTGGAGGCCATCCTGCCCAGCAAGCGCTTCTACGAGCTCATCTACAACAGGTATCCGCTGCGCTGTCGTGACATGAGTCTCAGGCTCAGCGGCCGGCATGGTGTTGGCTACGTATAACTCAAAGTATCATACTCGAGCGCCCACTACATACCTTTGATGTTTGAAGTAATTTAGACGTCTTTTTTACAGAGCGTGTCGGCGAGTTGAGAGATGTTACTAATAATTCAGGTCTTCGATATGCGCCTGTCTCGGGAGGTAGTTGCTCGTAGCTTTTTTTCTTTCGGCGCTGTAATGTTTCTGAAGTTGTCAGTCACGAGACAGAGCTCGAGTGTCATGTCCTTGTGATCGATGGCGCCCTGTCGCGTCTGGCGCGCCCCCGTCGGCCAACCGACGGGGCGGGTCGCGCGGCGGTGCCGGCGCCGGGGTGGCCCGTGACCTGGCGAGCTGACCCGCGTGACCCCGCGCCGTCCCCAGACTGGCCACAGACCTGGCGCTCTGGGAGCCGGCGGCGCCCGGCAGCTGCGCCAGCCCGGAGGCGGCGCACCCCCGCCCGACCCGCTGGCGTTGCTCGCCGACCCGTTCCAGATGTGCAAGTCCGGCACGCAGTACGGTGCGTGGCGCGCGCCGGCGGACGCGCGGCGAGTCGGCCGGCGACGGCGCGCGCGTGGTCGGCGTGCGCAGGGTCGGCAGCGGATGGGACGTGGTGCTGCCGTATGTCGCTCCCCGCGGAGAAGGCCGCCGGGCTCACGGGCACCAAGGGACCCGAGGTGCTCCCCGCGGAGAAGGCCGTCGGGCTCACGGGCACCAAGGCACCCGAGGTGAATGGGGTTTCAGAAGAACGCGGAGGCTGGCGGTTTTTCGATATCGCACCTTTGCACCCCGCTGTTCGTGTCCGCCCGTCGCTGATGCCGGCCGGTTGCCGCCGCGCGCGCTCAGTGGCCGGCCCGTCGGCGTGGCTGACATCACGACGCGCTCCCCTGCGGCCGGCAGACTCGGACTCCGACAGCGACGCCAGCGACACGCTGTACCAGTCTGTGTACGAGCAGCGGCAGCGGCAGCGGCGCCGGCAGCGTAACGAGGACGAGCTGGCGCGCAGCCGCCAGAGCCGCTGCTGCGTGCGGCTCCAGCTGGGTCAGGGCGTGGTCGCCCTGCAGACGCCCTGTGTGGTGAGTGGAGGCCAGGCGGCGACTGTCGGCCGGCGCCGGCTGCGACTCGACTGTGGCGGGCGTGGAGGGGGGAGCGGCGGTGACAGGAACTGGCGCGTCCTATCCGCGATGGCTGTTGGCGAATGATGAAAGGCGAAGGTGGCTTGGGTCGTCGTGGTGGACGTCGTCTGGTCCGTGTTCCGTGTTATGCTGGGTGCTCTGGTGTCATGTCGACCAATTGTCAGATCTCATTGACCTCATTATTTGTTTGGATGAAGATCCTGACTTGTGGCACCAGCTACGGCTGACGTTGATTTCCGTGGCTGCCGAACGCATCCTGGACCTCCGACAGGGCGTGGCCTGTCTTCAGGTCACGACCTGACCTGACCCGATTAAATTTGGTCTGTCTCCGTACGGGCCACCGTCCCCTGCGCACCATGGGCTCCCGCGCCTCCGCTAGGCCGCTGCGGCGAGGCCCAGCTGACGCGATCTGACCTGATCTGAATCTGACCTGACTTGACCTGACTTTATCTGACCTTATCTGACCTGACCCGACGTGGCATCACCCAACCTATCCCCCAGGCCGAGGAGGGCGCGCGGTGCCCGACCACCACGGCGAAGTCCAGCTGGCAGTGGACTCTGGCTCTCTGTTCGTCGTCTCCGGCTACGGCGGCATGTACGGCCACGGCTTCGTCTGCCTCTCCGCTCATCGTGCCAGCCTGTACCACAAAGGCAAGCGGCGGGTAACGGGCCGACAGCAGACACGCCGCGCACAGTGGCGGGGGAGAATCCCCAGACTAGCCGCAACACCTCACGCAAGGACTATGGAGCTTACCGCAAGGACTCGTCCCTCGCGGACTGCTTCAAATCGTCACGATGATAACGATATGTTTTTGGGGCTTGTGCCACCCACCCTGAGCTTATGCGTTGACCAGCATGTGGTTGACCTGGACAATTGTCTTATCGATCTGATCGACAAAAAGCAGATTATCATATCGCGTTATCAGGCGCCTCACTGTGGACTGGGCAGGCCATCCCAGCGTATATGAGTTGCAGTCGGGCAAACCGACCCCGTCCTTGCAGCCGTGATGGAATGTCGTGGGTCGCTAGCTACCCATATATTGCCGTGTCGTGCCCAGCGGGCTTAAAGCTATGCAATGCCGATCGGCATGCAAAGCGGCTTATTTCAGCACTTGCCATTGATACCGTCAGTGGCCTGAGCCGTTTGTGCCGCCCCCCGCCCCCTCTCACTGCCCCTTCCGTCGGCGCGGCCGGCGTCTCACCGCGCCCGGCCGTCTGCAGGTCAGGTATCGCCCCCCTTTCGCTGGCCCCTCTATGTGTCCCCTCCGTCGGCGCGGCCGGCGTCTCACCGCGCCCGACCGTCTGCAGGTCAGGTACCGCCCCCCTTTCGCTGGCCCCTCTCTGTGCCCCCTCCGTCGGCGCGGCTGGCGTCTCACCCGCGCCCGGCCGTCTGCAGGTCAGGTATCGCCCCCCCCCCCTTTCGCTGGCCCCTCTATCTGTCCCCTCCGTCGGCGCGGCCGGCGTCTCACCGCGCCCGGCCGTCTGCAGGGCAGATGCCGACGCGGTCTACGCCGCTGCTGCCGAGCTTAGACGCCATCCGCCATGCCTGGACCGGCTGGTGGGGCCGTACGAGGCCGAGCCGGCCGGACAGCCGAACGCCGACGACATGCTCTCCGTCGCCGTCAAATACCAGCTGGACGAGCTCAACAACATCAAGGTGGGGCGTTGGCCCGGTAGCGGCCGGCCCGCGCAGTTCTGCTGTAGCGGCTGGAGATCGAGAGCGCAGGCGACACGTGAAGCCTGCCGCGCCTGTCGGCTCGCTCGCGTAACACCCACAGTGACGCGGCCCGTCACGCGTCCCGCCGCCTGTCGTCTCGCTCGCGTAACGCGCACAGGACATGGGTTTTTTTGATCCATCATTACCAAGGCCTGTATTATAAGCTCCGGCGGAGAAGACCGCAGTTTACAAGATCTGTCTAATGGCGTTGAAAGCCTGGTGCCGGTGCGTATAACCCTCCAGTGGACGGACGGTGTCTGACGGGCCATTGCGGCTGAGGGGGGGGGGGGGAGGGGGAGGACGGTGTCTGGCGGGCCAGTGCGGCTGAGGAGGGGAGAGGGAGGACGGTGTCTTGCGAGCCATTGTGGCTGAGGAGGGGGAGGGGGAGGACGGTGTCTGACGGGCCTGTGCGGCTGAGGAGGGAGAGGGGGAGGACGGTGTCTGGCGAGCCAGGGCGGGTGTGTTGAGGGACGGGGACAGTGTGTGACTGCCCGCGTGCCCGTCAGACGTTCACGGTGGCGGTGGGCGTGGACGGCTGCGCGCTGAGGCCGCGCATGCTGCCGTCGCTGGAGCGGTTCGTGACCCAGCTGCTGGACATGTTCGACGTGGTGGACTTCCCGGTGGCGGGCTACGACATGCCGGCCACCGTCACCCAGCTGCACCTGCTGGTCACCAGGTCGGCGCTCGACTATAGGTGAGTCGGCGCCCGGCTGAGGCGGCCGCCGCTGGCCAGGCCAGGCCAGGCCAGGGCTGTATGCGCGGTCGATCACGGGCCAGTGTGGCGACGGCGGCTGAGACGCGACCCCTGACCCCTGACTGGGCTGCGGCTGGATGCTGGGCAGCAGCCGTTCACCAGGCCAGTGTGTAAGGTCTGGGTGACATCGGGTGCTCACGATGACAAAGACGCGGCCTCACGCGTTACCTAACTATGACGAGGCATGGTGGCTGAGCGCTCGGCCGCCGGGCAGCACGCACGCGGCATTTGCGATCGGCAAGCCATACCGTGATAAGATACATGTGTTTTGCGATGTTTTTGCTGACGAACAATACACAACATAATATAAGAAGCAGATAATTGTTTCGCTGTCATACAGCGCGTCGGCCCGCCGCGGGGACTGCGTTGCGTGCGTTCGTGATGAGCAACGTGTGACTTGTGGGCTGTTGCAGGCCGCTCAATCTGCCGTACCAGTACCTGGTGACTGTGGACAGCTTTATCCTGTCGTCGCACCTGGCGGCGGCTACCAGCACCTCGGTGCTACGCTTCATCCTGGAGGAAGCGGCGCTGCACGTGGCCGACCGAAGCGGCGCGCCGCTGGTGGGCGCGCGCGACTACGTGTGTGTGTTGGAGGCGGGTCTGCTGGAGCTGTCCATCCGCACCAGTGTGGCGCCGGCCGCCGGCCAGCCGCACCTCGACTGGCGCGTCTCAGCAACAACACCATCCACGTGCGCACGTGCGCTGACTCCCTGCGCGCTCTGGTGGAGCTGGTGACGTACCTGGCCGGGGACGGCGACCGGGGCGAGCCGGCGCCTGCACCGACTACGCCGCCGCCGCCTGCGCGCGCCGGTGTCCGGCAGGCGGGCGCCGACCAGGCCGGCCTGGTCGACCTCATGGAGGACGCCATGCAGGAGGCCAGCCCGCCGAGGCCGGGTCAGTGGACGCCGGGCTGCGGCGGCCCGGCGGCGGCCGCGGCCAGGCGCTGTTGTGTGAGGTACCGGCGGCGGCGGAGCATCCAGACCGCTCGGATACCACCGCCGTGAATCTCTGGGCGGCCTCAAGGCGGGCGTGGAGGATTTGCGGGCTTGTTCCAGTTTGTAGCGTGTATTGGGTGTGCTGTTTTGACTTGGGCATTGGGATGGCTTGGACAATCATCAGACACGCGTTCGAATGTGGTAGCTCCAGCCTATCTGGTCTTCAGCATAGTGAATTAAGTTGGCGCGACTTAACCAAGGTGGGGTTTAAAGCGCATGGTGTTTTTGCGATTCCGGATCACTTACACCGGTGTTATTTGCTTCTAGCTCCTGCACAGGTGAACCAGGGTCCAGTGGAGGTGTTCTTCTTCCCGAATGAGCCACATGTGGCGGCGCCCCCACCTCCTCCGCAGCTGGCCACGGAGGCTGTGCCGTCCAACACGGTAACTCTCGGCACGCGCCGGACGCCAGCGAAACGGTCAGCTGTGCTGTGTGGCATTAAGCGCGACATGCGCTGCTCGGATCTCTCCCGCCAAGTAGGCGTGGCTCACTTCCGAGGCGCACGACATGACGCGGCGGGATTTTCGACGCCAGCACGCTCAGATACCGCTTATCATTGAATGTCGAAGCAGTGGTTTGAACGTTGAACGTTTGGACGTTGAATTGAAGCATCGTCCCAAAGGAGTGCATTCCATGAGCCGGCCACAGATCTGGCCGAGGCGCGGCTCCCGTTGTAGCGCCGTGCGCCGGCGGGGGGAGCGGTGTTTGTCAGTGGGCCGGCCCGCTCCGTCAGGTGATGGCGACCATGGCCGAGGCGCTGGCCGACATCGACGACGAGTTCGACGACGCCGACAGGGCTTCTTCGTGCTCGACGACGACCCGGGTTCTGGCATACGGGTCAGTGGCCGTGTTGCGGGGGACGGTGGCCATCGCGGCCTTGCCCTGAGAACGGCGGTGCTCTCCGTGATCCTGCGCGCGCCTGGAGGAGTCTCGCGGTGTGAACGGTTGTGAAGCCAGCTGGCTCTTGACGTCCTGCTCTGGTGTGCCGCGGATATCCGCTGTTGCGTCACTGGTGGCGGGCTTCTGGTCAGTAGATCTCAGAGCTACGCACCACACTGGCTGTGTGTAGCAGCCTGTAGCCACGGGTATGTGTGCTCCGTCTCCCCGCTCCCAGTCGTCTGGTGTGCCTCGGCTGGTCCGTCGGTCTGACCCCCCCCCCCTTCCCTCGTTCCGGCAGTCGCGCTCCGGTGAGCCGCAGGTGCGCGTGCTCACATCTGAGCCGATCCGCGTGATCGATGACTTCCTGCCGGCGCCGTGCCGGGCGGACGACGTGCTGCGGCCGCCGACGCACTTTCCTGCCGCGGCGGCGCTACACACTGCAGCAGATGTCCGTGTTCTGGAGCCTGTACGGCGGCCACGACCTGGCCAGCAGCGGCGCGCCCCCGCCGACGCGCAAGGTGAGGCGACGCCGCGCCCCCGTGACTTGCGATGTTCGACGCGTCGTATGACCCCGACCGTTGTCGTTTTCGGCGTCATTATGGGGAGTGTCGGTGGCGAGCCGGCGGCCGAGGAGCGTCTGAGCCGGGCCAGCGATGCGGGCCGCTCATCGCCGGGTCATCCGCGCGGGGAGCAGCCGCCTCACGCTGTTACATTGTCTGGAGGAGCGTCGGAGCCGGGTCATCCGCGCGGGGAGCAGCTGCCTCACGCTGTTACATTGTCGGGGGGAGAGTCTGAGCCGGGCCATCCGCGCGGGGAGCAGCCGCTCACGCTGTTACGTTGTCTGGAGGAGCGCAGGAGCTGGGATGAGCCATACAGTGATCGCGGGGATGGATGTCAACCGCTGAACTTACAATGACCGGAGCAACAGCGGCGGCGTGGTGTTTCCATCCTCACGTGGTGTACGCGCTTCGGCTCCAGCACGACACCTGCCGGGTGGCCTTGACACCACTGAGTGGCCCAGTCACACACACCCGCACACGCGCGCGGTGGCGAGCAGTGTGTTACAGTCACCGCCGTCGCCGTTTGTGGGCGGCGGTGGTGCGCCAAGCCGGCGGCCGTGTGTGGGCAGCGCCGGCTGACGCTAGCGCTGCCGCGCCGGCAGGTACGGATCGAGTCGCCGGCCGCCCACACCACCGGGCAGCCCGCGGGCCCGGCTGGGCCAGGCGGCTCCCTCGCCCTGCTTCAGGCGGCCTTCAGCAAACACGGCGCACAGCAGGTGCGGTTCGCAGCTGGCGGCGGCGGCGGCTCGCTGCTCCCTGGGGGAGGGGACGGGCAGCTTGTCCTGATGACGGTCTTCACCATTGGATGAGGCGGTCTTGCTGTACTGACAGTCATGGGAATGGCGAGAAAACGTTGCTTTTTGCATCCACCAATTGAATGTATAATGCCGCTGGTAATCGTCCTTTTTCTTGGATAAGTCTGGGTGTGCGATTCGCCAAGTCATCTCCACTTGTTGTCGGGGGTGATAAGCTGTGGTCTCTTAATCGTTGTTTCTGTGGTGGCGTTGTAAGGCGCGTGGTATGTGTAGAACAAAACCGAACTGCGTACTGGGTTTGGGTCTAACACGGATGGTCTGCAGTAGATACGCACGTGTTACGTCTTGCCACCCGTCCAAGAATGCGTCCTCTCTCACCGCACGGTGCCTTTCATGTGCTCGATAGCAGAATGTGAGCTGAGGTGCACTGGTCCGTCTCAACGGACACTGTTAGAGTTTCAGCGACCCGTTTGTTTCGGACGGTTTCGGTGTAGATCACGCGGCCCGTCTGCCGTTGCGCATGCGTTTCCCCGTCCCCGGTCCCCCTGGCGCACGTCTGTGATCTCGTGGCTGGCTCGGCCCGCTCGGCGGCCGGCAGCTGGCGGCGCGCGCGGCGCGGCTGACGGCGTGTTCGGCTGTTGCAGCTGTTTCCCCGGCAGGTGCGGTTCGGCACGCTCGCTTCGCCGAGGACGAGGCGCCAGCGCTGACCGCGGCGGCCGCCGCCCCGCCGAGGCGGCCCCGGCCGACACGCCGACACCATGATGCAGCTGCGGCTCAGCAAGGTAGCGCCGCCGGCCGGGCTCCGGCGGCGGCGCGGGGCACGTTGTGTTGATGACACGGCGGGGGCCGGCGGGGAGGACGCCTGCGGTCGGAGGCAGTGGGAACCGAGCAGGCCGGGGACGCGCGCCGCTCTGCCCTCTGGCGGGATCGAGTCTTGCGACGTAAAGACACGGGCTGTGCGGAGGGGAGGGGTAGGGAGGGGGGGGGCGGATGGAGCTGTGACGCTCGTGGGTGACCGCGGCGAGGCGAGAAGACGCGCGGAGCGGGGCCGCCGGTGCCGGTGTGACGCGCCGCTGCCGCCGGCCGACAGGCGCGCTGTCAGCTGGAGGGTATACCCCGAGGACACGGAGGAGGCGCGCCGGCTCGTGCTGGTCGCCAACGACGTGGAGGTGCTGGACCGCATCACCTCGTCCGACATGAACAAGTTCCTGTACCAGTATTCGTCCGAGAGCTGCCCGCGCCAGCTCACTCCAACATGGTGAGGCCGCCCGCCACCGCCCTCACGTCATGTCATGTCATTGGGACTTAACGACCTTACCGTCCTCGGCTCCGGCCGCGGCAGCCGTCAAGGCGTCAGTCTGCGCTGTGTCGAGGCCCTGGGTATCGGCGGTTGCCTGCGTATTCTAAGGCGAGCGCGCTGCCTGGCTGGCTGCTTGGCTGCGGGGCTGCGTCCATATAGTCAGTTGCCAGGTCCTGAAAGGGGCCTGTGATGTTTGGGTTGTACCTGCGGGGGCGTGGCCACGCTCGCGGCTGGCGGCGCCCGGCCGACTGGGGCGGGATGGGGTCTGACCGCCGGCGGCGCCCGGCCGACTAACGCGGGATGAGGTCTGACCGCCGGCGGCGCCCGGCCGACTGGCGCGGGGTCGGGTCTGACCGCCGGCGGCGCCCGGCCGACTAGCGCGGGGTCGGGTCTGACCGCCGGCGCGCCCGGCCGACTAGCGCGGGATGGGGTCTGACCGCCGGCGGCGCCCCGGCCGACTGGGGCGGGATGAGGTCTGACCGCCGGCGCTTCCGCCAGGTGCTGCTGAAGGGCCCTGTGCCGCCGGCCGGACCCGGCCGTGGCCACCGAGGAGTGCGACGTGCGCCTCTCGCTCTGTCCAATCCGGCTCAAACGTCGACCAGGACGCGCTGTTCTTCCTGCGCGACTTCTTCCGGGCCGTGGCCGGCGAGCCGGGTGCGTGGCCGGGCCGCGTGATCAGACGGGGGCTGCGTTGGCCTCTCACGGGGTCAGGTGACCTGAGAGGAGAGTGTGGGGAGGGAGGGGGTGGGGCTGCCGTGCGCCTCTGTGATTCTGGTATGTTTGTGCGGGCATTTCCGCGCGTCAGCTGTGTGCCGCGGTGTGAGGCGTGTGCGGTGGTGGGCCGTGGTGTGAGCTGACGCCCGCGGAAGCCGTCAGCCGGCCCGTGGTCCCTTGCTGCGGGATAGCGCTCATCGGCCCGCCAGCCTGCCGCCGCCTACTCGTGGCGGTCGGCCACCCACCTGGCTTGCTCTGTCGTCCTGATGCCTTGCTAGCAGCATTGGGGGATAGTGTGCGGCTTTGGTATGTTCAGAGGACAGCAGTGTCGTGAAGGCTCATGCATTTCTTGAGCCTGAATGTCTAATTGAAGATTGTATTGCAAGGCTATCAGTATCACTTAAAACGAGGCGCTTGTTTTCGGAAGGACTGCTCAATGTTAGCACGCACAACGAACCGGGGTCACATGTTCCTTCTGCCCCAAGACGCCATGCTCCTCCATTTGTGCTGATCAGTGATCGTCGGCGACAGAAGCAGGATCCGCCGGCATCATGCCACCGTCTGCAAGCGCGTGCCATGGCGTGGTGTCTGCGGACACCGCACGGCGGCGCCCCTCACCCTGGTAACAGCCGTGTGTGTCTTGTGGCGCAGGCGGCAGCGGCCGGGCCCCTCGCCCGACTCGGACGCGCCCGTGCTCTCCATCACGCAGCAGGACGCGCCGCTCGGTCCCGGCGAGGACGAGCCGGACGAGGACGAGGACGAGGAGGCCGAGCCGGCGGCCGGCGCGGTGCGGCCGGCCGAGCAGCATCCCATCTTCTTCAGGCAGGTGGAGCGGCCGCGCGGCGGCCGGCGGTCGGGCCGCGGCAGTGCGACGCCGTCACCATGGCAACGGGGCGTGCCTGTGTGACGTCACCAGAGCGGCAGCCTCCCGGCCGGTCGACGGGACATCGTGACGAGTCGGATGGGCTCGGCCTGTTTCCGCGGCGCTCGTCACAGGGTTCCGGGACGCCTCAACAGCCTACAATCGTGGGCGCCCGTCCGGTGTCCTGGGGTATGGGGAAAGATCGCGGCGCGGTCTGCAGCTCTCGGGCCGCTCGTGCACCACTGTGATGGGCTGATACGATGGGTGACGCCGCAGCGAGACCACTTACCGTCTGATGTTGACCGCCTCGGATCAGACCGTGAACAGCGCTATAAGATAGACTTTATTTGATGTGCTTATCGGAAAGAGCATGATTAGATTGCGTGCGCTGGACGCGGTCATGATATTGACTTGAAGTGCTGAAAGCGTCAATTCTGTCAAAGAAAATGTTTCGATCCCTCGCGTCATGCTGCGTAAAATGTTGCATCCAACTAATCACGCGGACTGACGGCATCAGCTGCTGGCTGTCAGGTCGTTGGCCTCCGGTGTCGTCATTCTTGGTCACGTGAAATTCCTTGTTGCGCAACAACATCGAGATGCTCAATAACACCTCAACGAACGTCATCCGAATCGTGAAGCTAGGGCGTTTAAGAGTTGTGTAACGCTGCGAAAGTCTTTTGTAGACTACCACCTGGCGCCAGTACAAAATCCACTACAAATAATAACTAAATTCCCTGAACGACCAAAGAATGAAAGCACACGGTCGTTATGCAGCAGTGTCCGAGTCAGAGTCAAGCGCGGCTCCCTGGCCGGCTGCAGGGCGGCACTTCCACGGAGCTGTGCACAATCCCTCATCATCGTCACCAGCAACGGCGTCCGTGACGCCCGCTACACCGCAGCCCTCCTGTCTCCGCGTGAGCTCGCCCCAGCGGCGTCCGTGACGGCCGCTACACCGCAGCGCTCCCTTCCCCGCGTAAGCTCGCCCCAGCGGCGTCGTGACGGCCGCTACCCCGCAGCCTCCCGTCTCCGCGTGAGCTCGCCCCAGCGGCGTTCGTGGCGGCCGCTACACCGCAGCCCTCCCGTCTCCGCGTGAGCTCGCCCAGCGGCGTTCGTGACGGCCGCACACCGCAGCCTCCCGTCCCGCGTGAGCTCGCCCCAGAACGGCGTCCGTGGCGGCCGCTACACCCCGCAGCCCTCCCGTCTCCGCGTGAGCTCGCCCCAGCGGCGTCCGTGGCGGCCGCTGCACCGCAGCCCTCCCGTCCCCGCTGAGCCCCAGCGGCGTCCGTGGCGGCCGCTACCCTGCAGCCCTCCCGTCTCCGCGTGAGCTCGCCCCCGGCGTGCGCGCCGCCGGTGCGGCGTACCCCCGGCACGCGCCGGCCGTGACGCGCGCGCCGCGCCTGCCGACAGGACGTTCACGTTCTCGCCGGAGGTGCTGATCCGCATCGACTACCAGGGCAAGCGGGTGGACATCGGCCAGTTTGGGCCGCTGATCGGCCTGCTCATCGGCCTGGGCCAGCTCAACTGCTCCGAGATTCGGCTGAAGCGCATCAGCCACAAGAGCGGGTGAGACGGCCGGCGCGCGGGGCCGGCCTGGGCGGGGCGGGGCAGGCCCCGTGACCGGACAGAGAACGCTGCGTGGTGACGCTCCAGTGTTCTCCGGCGATGATAGCTTGCGCGCGTTTGCTGATGTGTTCTCAAGAGGAGGCCATGATCTGATCAAAGGGGACGGCGTCCTGCTTCGATTGACGGGTGAACTTTGTCTTCCCTGCTTACACGCCGCCATCTTTGCTATCGAATCACTGACTGTGGAAGCTGGTAACTGCTCCATGAGAGCCTGTCCGGACTGGAATTTTCAGTACAGCCCCTGATTCAGTACAGTCAGAGCCTGTGACTGCGTGACCCAGGCTTTGGCCCAGAATATAGCCGGGACAGATTTTTGCGCGTGCCACCGATCCGCATTGCCCGATTCGTGACCAGGGAGCCCTCGCTTGCCTGCCGTGGGTAATACTGCTCCCACACAGTACTGAACCATCTTTCGTGGCAGCCGCCCTCGATGTCATCTCCAGATGCCGAGTTACTGTTCTGCGTGCGGCAGCCGAGCCGGGGGCAGTGCTGACCGTACCCCGTCTCCGCAGTTTGCTGGGCCTAGATCGGCTGGTGCACTTCGCGCTGAACGAGTGGCTCACCGACATCCGTAGCAACCAGCTGCCGAGCCTGCTGGGCGGCATCGGACCGCTCCACTCGTTCGTCCAGCTGTGTGAGTGGCTGTGGGGACGCCGCCGGCTGCCAGCCCGCCAGCCGCCAGCGCCGCCGGCTGCCAGGCCGTCAGCCGAGCTGTGCCCCAGCCGCCAGGCGCCGCGGCTGCCAGCCCGCAGCCGGGCTGTGCCCAGTCGCCAGGCTCTGCCGGCTGCCAGCCCGCCAGGCACCTAGTCGTTTTCAGTGCTGTTCCGGCTCGTAGCCAGAATTTTCTACAGAGGTATAGTAGATATCGAGTTTTCTAAAAATGCCTGCGATTTTAGTTCGAATTCCTGCGAAATCACCCAGTTTCTAATTTCAACCTTTTGACTCAGGGGAGGGGGGGGGGGGGGGAGGGGTATTGGTATTGCCTTTATGTCTTTCTCCCTAGGCTACGTCCTTGGTGTTGTTGATATCCCTGATTTGCCCAAGCCATGGCCTGGCGGGTGCGAGGCAGGGTTCGTTCTGTCACCGTTGCCGCTGGCGCAGGCTGTACTGCCCATCAGCGCACGTGCCACGGCGGCCACGTGGCGCGGCTCGTACCGCCGCGCTCCAGGGTCATGCGTGCACTCGTACCTGTCGCGACGGTCACCGGGACCGCCGCGAAACGCTAGCGGTTTGCGGTCGCTTTCCCGTCGCCGTCCGTGTCGTCCTGGCATTGTTTCTCAAGAGGCGTTCGTAGCCTGTCCTGCCTCTTGAGCTCGTTCGTCACCTGTCTTCGGGTCGTCGGTGGTGTACGTGGCATGCGTGTCGTGTCGTTGCCACTCGAGCCTCGCTGCTCGGCCGGCCGGGCCGGGGGCGGGCGTGGCGGATGGCGCGCGGCGGCCGTGGCTGACGCTCTCCTCCCGCCGCCCCGCCCCCAGTCCAGGGCATCCGCGACCTGCTCTGGCTTCCGATCGAGCAGTACCAGAACGGCAGGATCGTCAAGGGTCTGCAGCGTGGCGCCAACAGCTTCTCCACCTCCACCGCCATGGCCTTCCTGGAGCTCACCAACCGGCTGGTCGGCTACATCCAGGTCGGTCGGCGGCGGCGACGGCGGGCGGGCCAGCGTTATACTGGGCGGCTGGCCGGCAGCCGGATCCGGATTTAAGAGAACAACGCGCCACGCTTCGTCGTGCAACCGTTCATGACGCGCCAGGGACTGCAGAGATCATTTTAGCTCTCGGGCCATAGTTCAACTGGAGTTCGAACCCGGGCCCCACGCGGGGACCGAAGCCACCTGGTTTGCGTTGCACATGAGCGAATGTCAGCCGTTGGTGTACGCGTGTGCACGGACGGTGAGGAGGGCCGCCTCAGTGACGGCACCGTAGGTTGGGCGCGTGGCGGAGTGACGGCTCCAGCTGTGACTCTGACCCCCTGCCCGGCGCCTTCCTCTGGGGCTGCGCTGACACGTGCGGCGGCCGGCAGGGCGCCTCCGAGTTCGCGTACGACATGATGTCGCCCGGCCCGTCGGTGCGACAGAAGCGCAAACAGAAGCGGAGCCGGCGGCGCACCTCGAACCTGCCGCAGGACCTGCGTGAGGGTGTTACCCAACGCTTACGAGCTGGTCAAGGAGGTGAGCCCCCCGCCCCCCGCCCTCAGCGAGAGCCGCTCAAACGGGGAGGACACTGACCACTGCGGGGCCGGGGTGGCTATATGTGTGTGGTGTGTGTGTGTGTGTGTGCGTGTTTGTGTGTGAGCGTGCTTGCGTGTGCGCGGTTTGTGTGTGTTGGTGCGATGCGCGTGGTGATGTCCTTTTTGAAATGTCAACGACGTTTGGTTTCCGTAGATGAAAACTCAGCCTAGGGGTCCGCGTCGTTTGGCTGTTGTCCCATGACTTCATTAGTAAGCGGTGTGCTCCTGCCGGACTACGGCTGCTGCCGCGGTCTGGAACACCGGTGACCACTGTGTTCGCGTCGTCACTCGTCTGAGCTTTCCTCGCCGCGCGCGTGTGACCGGTACCCCGCCGGCCGGCAGGGCCTGGGCGAGACGGCGCAGACGCTGGCGCGCGTGGGCGGCCGAGGAGCACGACCAGAAGGGCGTGTCGGGCGCCGTGGGTGGCGTTCTGCGCCAGATCCCGCCCACTGTCGTCAAGCCCCTCCTGGCTGGTCTCCGAGGCGACCAGCAACGTGCTGGGCGGCATGCGCAATCAGCTGGCGCCTGACGCGCGGCGCGAGGCGATTGACAAGTGGAAGGCGGCCGAGTGAGCAGCACCGCGGCCGACACGAGCGCCGAGTCGGGCGAGAGCTCAGCTGGCGGGGTGGTGCGCCAGTGCGAAGAGCGCGGGCTTGGAGGCAGGCGGAGGACGGACAAGTGAGGGCTGTGTTTACGAGCCGTTCCCGGCGTGAGCTTTACGGACCGGCGAAGATTGCTAGGTGACGGTTTGGTTCGGCCAGCGAGTGAGGCGGTGACAGTCGTGAGGCTGACGGTCGGGTGTGCGGGTCGTCGCTGGTGTGAGTTTTACAGTGTCTTGGAAGGCCTGCCGACGCGGCAGCGGTGCGGTCGGTCGGCGCCGGGCCGAGAGTGGGGGACGCGCGCGCGCGCTGTCTGACGCGGAGCAGCAACCGGCGGGTGGGAGCCGCGCTGGGCGAAGGCCGGTGGAGGACAGCCGAGGCGGTCCGGCCGGCGCGCCGCCCAGCGCCAGTCTCGTACCGCACAGACAGGCGCGGGCCCCACCGCAGGCGGCAGTGTGGCTTTTCTCGCGACGTGGTCCGCTTCGGCCGGACTTAGCCGGCCAGGCTTGCAAACCGTGTCTTTCTTACAATGGTGTTCGACGATTCGTTGCTGGCGTGTGATATGTTTGTAGACGGCGGGCGTAGCATTCCGTAGGTTTTGTATGGGTGCTGCCGGCGGTGACGGCCGCGAGGCTTGCTTGTATTACCTGGGGCGTCGAGGGCGGTGCCGGGTTTGCCGTGTCCTGCTCGCTTCGGCGCCCTGAGACGGCCTTTCCGGCTGACCTCGCGCCGGTCGGCCGGCTCGGCCCCGCGGCCGAGACCACGCCGGCCCGGCCGCCGATCGAGACAGCACGAGCTCTGGCAGTTGTCCGTAACCACGCATGGTGCCCTGGACGCGCACGCGCACCGGCTTGTGTACCGCAGACTGGGTGGCGCGGCCCGCGAGCCGTCGCGCCTTGTATCCGTCTGTGTGGGGTGTGCGGGCGCCGAGGTAACGCTGGGCCGGCGCGGCGGCGTCACCTCTCGCCTGCCGCCGGACGCTCTGGTCGGCCGGACGGCCAGCAGGCGGCATCAGTGGCGACAGTCGGGTACGTGGAGTGGGGCGGAAGCATGATAATGTGACGCACATACGCAAATACATTTGTATCATTCTTTCGGCTGTATTTGTTGAGCCGGCCCAGTTCCGGCGCGTTTCCTCTCGCACCGAGGGATGAGCCGAACAGCACCGCACCACAAACTCCCCATATTTGCACGCCTGCGACCGCAAGTGACAACCCGCAAACAAGAAAGCAGCAGCTTGACAAAACAGAGACGATCGTGACGGCTCCCAGGAAGGTTCCCGTTAAAGCAAAACAAACGACCGCTATCACGCGCTCCCCAATCTGCTCTCGCCCGCTAGCCAGCGGGCACCGCTTTGCGTGTAAGTCGGCGGGTGCTCGCGACAGTGGCATGCTGCGCACACGCCGGCACGCGGCAGAAGGACGGACGCATAGTCCGGTGCCGGACTCCACACAGCCCAAACCCGGACGGACTCGGACGACCTCCCGCACCGCCTCCCGCTACTCGATTAGCTTCTTCGCCTTGAAGTAGCGGCGCAGGTACAACACTTGCCACGTGGCTAGGCCGAGCAGACAGCACAGCCCGAACAGGCTGAAGTACATCACCCGCGAGCTGGTCGACTCTGCGAACGAGAGGTGCCCTAGTAAGCTCGTCACTTGAAATGCTCGACTCGCCGTAGTCGAAGCCGATCAGCTGGGGTCTAACCACATGTAATCTCTGTTCCAACTGATGCTGGCAGGTGCACCTGGCGACAGAGGGAGGACCGTCCTCTGTCTTCCGTCCTCCGTCCTCCCCCGGACCGTGCTCGCGCGACCGCTGGCAAGACCCGCAGCTCACCGTTTGTGTCGCGCATCTGCTCCTCGCGCTCTCGCATATAGGCGAAGTCCTGCACGATGGCCTCTGACAGGTCCTCCAGCTTCTTGAGCTGCATCTCCAGCGGCTTCAGCTTAGCCGCGTCGGCCAGCTGCCGCGGTCAGGTCAGGTTAGGTCAGATGTGAGGCGTCTGACGACGATTCGCACCGAGATCTGGTCGGGCCAGCGGCAGTGGGAGCGCGACCACCGCTAGCAAAGAGGCACCGAAAGATCGCGTAAGCAAAGGCAACTCAGCAGAGTAGCATTTGTCACACATGCACATATGATTTCCAAGATTGAGGGAGCTCATAAGGTCATTGTTCATTAGAACGCCCCAAAAAAATCTTCAGAGAAACAGAAAAACTGTCTGAATTATCCCTTTTCAAGGATTTTCAAGTGCAGATAAGCAAACCAAAAGCAAAACAACAACTTTCATGTTGCCTTAAAGCCAAAAATTCGAACAAATATCTTAGGGATCTTACCTAAAATACTGAGTGATTATGAGACTGAAATACTTATCCATGGAAACTCTATCAAGTTTAAATCCATAACTTACCCCCTCATAGCTCTTTGCTTCCACACCATGCTTGGTTGTAAGAGTGATGTCATGAACCAGACCTGACTGTCCTGCAATTGGAACACATCACATCCTGATAACAAAATTATCGTTTCTGTGAGCCTATGATGCATCTCTGATGATGAGATCCTATGGCTTTCACAAAAGCAGTGTTTCAAATCATAATGCAGATCTTGCAAGTAAGTACCAAGAAAGACCAACTCCCCAGCCAAGAGCTTTGAAAAGTACTTAAAAAATTACAACACATGGATAAATCCAGCCATACTGTACCTAAGTACCTAAACACCATCCATTGCTATCCTTGATATAATAAGAAAAGTTTTTGCATGCTTAGATGTCAAAACAGTTTACCAAATTTTCCTTAATGACCCAAATGAATGCTGACACCGCATACAAATAATACAAATCAACATAAAAGAAACTTATCTATTTGATGTAATACAATATAGATCATAGTGAATGCAAATGCAGCATGGTTTTCATAAATATGGTTACATACCTGCTTGCACACTTGAAACAAAGCAGATTTCAAACTTTGTGTCTTTATCTGTGGTGAAGGCAAACTTCCCATGCCCCTTGGCCTCTTGCCGATTGGCCAACACATGGCTATCTTGATCAATCACCTGAAAGCATACCATATCATGTCAAATAACTAAAAAAGCCTTGATAAGCCTGAGTAAATGGCAGGTACCTTTAACCAACAGACCACATGGTTACATCCCTCTCCTGGGCCAGGGCTCCAAAACCTGGCCTGCAGGAAAAGGCTAGCCTGCCCCATGGCCAGGGTAGTAAGCTACTGCCTGCCATCTGCATCTCAATGCCACATTTTCCCCCATGTCCTAGTTTGGCTGTTTGACTATTTTTAAAAACATCATTCAGTGATTATCTTTGGTTGGCACCAATATTCCTTTAGAATTACACACATTGCAAGCATCTGCTTATTAATATACAGATAATTAGCAGCAAAAGTTCACATCAGCAGATGTGGGGAATGGGGAAACAGATGTCAGGGATTTGAGCTCTGTCACAAAAAACATAGCTTGGATCTTTTGGCTTAATTATCATGCTATTAGCACAATAGCTACCTAATCCAACCAGATCAGATGAAGCATCAGATCTATCCCAAGCAGTGCGCTGGAGCAACCATCAAATTTGGATAAAAAAGATTGCATATACATAAACAATGAAAATATGATGTTTTATCCACTATGTTCTGCATGGGAATAGTGGACTGCTTAAGTGCCTTTTTTTCTTAAAAAATGGCACAATTGAAATTGTGTTCCACTCACTACATGTAGGACATTGTGACATATACAGCCTTCTCCCACTATTGTACCTAAAAGTCACCATACGATACCACTTTTCTTCAAAAAGGTCTCATGTACACAGTTCCTAAAATCTGAAGATGGTGATTACTGTTCATTGTCTAAATTAGTAGGCCAGTTATGAGTATGCTGTGCATGCTGAAATATATCAATGAAATACTTTAAACAACAAAAATAAATAACTCAGATCACTTAAGACCAGCCCCACCCATTACTAATTATGATAATTTGGACTACTTCATCAGTCATTACTAATTATAATAATATACATTATATATACATATAATATACATCATACTATATATATATATATATATATATATATATATATATATATATATATATATATATATATATATATATATATATATATATATCAATGATAATAAAAAAATGGCATGCAGAAGAACACGCCATCTGCATGAACTTAACCATATGTTTTGACTGATCTGTCCAGCAGATGAGCATGCTTCCACATATGAGCATTCTAAAATGAAGCAAGCATGAAAATTTGTACTGCATGCAGCCAGCCCTTGCTTACCTGAAAATGTACCACCTGGTTTGGGACTTCGGAAACCTCATATTCCCCAGTAACGAGCGTTTTGGCATGCACATTTTCAGCAAGGCACTTATGATTGTTGGGATGCAGTTGGAACATTAAGCCTTCGACGCACAGAAGTCTCCCCAACAGCAATAAAAGAGCTTGCTTAAGGGCAGATGTGCTCATAATTATAGCAAATAGGCACAACTGGTCGAATTTGGGCCTAACCAACGGCACCTCTCCAACAAGCTCGTTTTAAAGGAATACTACTGGATCACACTCCGTACCGTCCGTATGTGTCGAGCATGCGCCAAATTATAAGGTATTTAGTTGCACCATATTCAACGTCTTACGAATATTTTTTTCACAGTCCTTTATCTCCTCACCAATACCAGCAAAAGTTTGTTTTTTTGCGAGGGGAATGATGGCCGATAAACAGGCAATCTGAACGGATCTGATCTGCAATTTGGATTTTACGATAAGAGAGCATATCATTGAATTTGAAAAGTCCAGTCCGAGGTGAGCGGCAGATGAGTAGCTTCTCGACGTCATACCTTACCTTACCTTACCTTATGGTGATCGGGAATTGTAAAAGGCCACTAGGCCTGTAGGTCCCGGTCTCGTCAGGCTCCCGGTCCGGTAACCAAACAGTCTCAAATTATGGGAAGATTCAGTGTGGGACGTCGTACATGAGGTCAGCCCAGTGCGTATCAAGCCTAGCCTTGAACTGTTCAGTTGAGGTCGACGACACGACCGGGTGTGGAAGAGCGTTCCAGTCGTTGACAACCCGCGTGCTGAATGAGTTGCGACGGACGAGAGTCCTAGCTCGAGGTTTTCTGAGCTTCCATTGGTGTCCTCTCGCTACCTCCGAGTTGTGCCTTGTCAGGAACTCCTCCTCCGATAGCGACATGCCTCCGTGAAATAGCTGGTACACTGTTACCATGCCTCCCCTGCGACGACGATAGTACAGTGAGGGCAGCTGAAGGAGTCTAAGCCTCTCAGGGTATGGCTGGCGCCTCACTTCATAGACAAGCCGGGTAGCTCGTCGCTGAACTCGTTCCAGCCGTTTCTGGTCCAGTTTGCCGAACGGGCCCCAGATAACGTTGCCATACTCTAAGTACGGACGTACTAAGATATTAAAAAGGAATGGCAACGTGCGAGCATCGATATTGGCAAAAGACCGCCTCACGACCACCAGCATCTGGTTGGCCTTGGAGGTCGCTTCCGCCGTCTGCACGTGGAACTGGAGCCGGTAATCCATGAAGATCCCGAGGTCCTTCTCGGTGGACTCGACCGCGATTTCGGCACCGTCCAAGAAGTACGTCAGCCTCGGGTTGCAGTTCCCGATGTGCATTATTTTGCACTTTGCTGCACTAAATGGGAGCAGCCACTCCTTTGACCACTTGGCTAGGGCGTCGAGGTCAGCCTGCAGAGGTGAGTGAGTCAGGGGTCTCGGGACACGACAGTAGACCTTGGTGTCATTCGTAAACATCTTGACCACGCTTCGCACTTGCTCTGGCAGATCGTTCACGAAAATAATGAACAGCGTTGGTCCAAGTACTGACCCTTGCGGGATGCCGCTGACGACGTCGGTCCAGTCCGACTTCGATCCCTGGACCCGCACTCTCTGCATCCGATAAGTAAGAAAAGCCCTGATCCAGCGTAGCAAATTACCTCTCACGCTGTAAGCATGACGCTTGGAGAGCAGACGGTTATGGGGAACAGAATCAAAGGCTTTGCTGAAGTTCAGATACGCCACATCCACCGGCTCTCCATCCTCCACCGCGGCGCTCCAATCCTCCATGACCTCCAACAGCTGAGTGGTACAGGACCGCTTAGGGAGAAACCCATGCTGGGCCGCATGAAGAAGTCCAGACTCTGAGAAGTGATTAAGTAGGGCATCAAGGAAGAAAGTTTCAAGTATCTTGGAGGGAATAGCAGTAAGGCTCACTGGGCGGTAGCTCGCTGGAGATTGTCGGTTACCCTTCCTGAAAATCGGGACCACCTCGCCAAGCTTCCACTCCAGAGGGAGCCTTCCGGATGCCAAAGATTTCCGGTAAAGCATGCTGAGGGGTGCTGCTAGGACGTTTGCGGACTCGCAAAGAAGCCTTGGATGGAGATCGTCTGGCCCAGGGGCGCTCGAGGACTTCAGAGCGGCCAGTTTCTTTGCCACTGCCTTCGTAGAGATGGCCACGTCATCCAGCAACGGTCCAGTAAAGTTACACGGTAACACAGGCATGGCATTAGTCCCTTCGTCCGTGAAAACGCTGGCGAAGAATTTACAGAGGACGTTTGCCTTCCCTTCGCTACTGCTGGTCAACACTCCATCATCGTCAAGAAGGTCTTCTACCCTGCATCTTGTACGTAGTCTAGAGTTGGCGTACCTCCAAAAGGCCATGGGGTCTCTTTTGATGTCTGCTAATAATTTAATATCATACTCTTTCCGAAGGTACCTGGTCAACTTCCGCAGGTCATTGCGACAACGCACAAACCTGGCATGGTCTAGGGCGTCTGAGTCCGCGTGTACGTTCGCCATAGTCTTTCCTTAGCCTTCTTTAGTTGCATGGCCCTTGGGTTCATGCATAAGTTCTTCTTAGCTTTAGCCTTTCTCCTGACGGAGCAAACCTCAGTGGCCCTGGCGATTCTTTCCTTGAGGAACTTGTAACCCTCTTCGAGGCTGAGGCTCTCCATCAAGGACCAGTCCATTGACCTGAGGGTGTCAGCCAGATGCTCGTAGTTTGTGTGTGTCAGCTGGCTGGGACGAGGAGTTTGTAGCCCAGAGTAGCAGGCCAAAGTATACCTGACGACCACATGGTCACTGTTACCTAGCCCTGGCAAGTATCTGATTTGGCTCACCATGCCCTCCTCATTTGTGAAAATTAGATCCAGAACACTAGGAGCTTCACCAACCCGGTAGCGTGTTGGCTGCCGGACATGCTGAAACAAGAAACAGCCCTGAATGGTGTCTATCAAAGAGTGGGTTGGGTGACTCTCTAGAGCTGACGACCGCTCTGTTGCCCAGTCGATCTGAGGCAAGTTAAAGTCACCTACAACTATCACGTGAGAGAACTGGGCTCTGCATGCTTTCTGAAGAAGGTCTTCCAGTTGGCCCACACTGTCCTGGATGTTGCCTGATGGACTTCTGTATATGCAGCCAAGTAACAGGGCATCCTTCCCACTCAAGGCCATCTTCAGCCACACTTGCTCCAGAGGACTTGACCCAAATGAGTGCTCAGCTGCGTTTAGTAAGTTGGACACATAGACACATATGCCTCTTCTACCACTAGATCCGAGGTTGGGCTGAGAGAGATTAAAGTTTGTGTACAGGGTGTACCCGGAAATCGATAGGAGAGATGGTGCAATAGGAAGCTTCTGGGCTTTGGGAAGGGCCTCAGTCAACAGCATGATATCTGGCTTATCATCAGAAATGAGCATACATAAATCATCCCTTTTAGTAAGGAACTGGTCAGCACTGGCGTACAATATCTTCAGACCTTGCCTACCCCTGCACTGATGAGCATCATGCAGTCATTGCGGACTGGGGGAACCAGCATCAGCCTGAACTTGAGTATGCTGATATGTGGATCCATCCCCAGTGACTGAGGTCGCTGTTCGGGAATGTACGTGAAGTTAGGGATTTATTTAGCGATTTTTCAGCAACCAGTGTTTTACCTGACACGAAGAAACTTACTTTGAGGCAACCAGTTTCATATAGCAAAAGAAGGCATCATTACTATGAAGAGGCGGATGTCATTTGATCAAAGAGTAAGTAGTGAATAATTAGAACGGGCTGTCAAGCGAAGTTGTAGAAGTCCCTCTCTGGCAATACCTAACATCGTTTGGACAAGTGCTATCGGTCTTGACATTTCATCTACTGATAAATTCAGGCATGTCAGATCGTATGATTATCTTCGAGGATGTACGCAAATCTGAGGTAGGCCAGCCTCGGTGGGCCCTTGTGGCCCTTTGTTGGCCAGATGCCTTTATGTATTTTATGTTTAGTTTCGATTTCAATGAAAACGTGTTTGACGGAAAGTCGTGGCACGAGGTCACCGCATCTGACATCTGTTTTCAATATCACATCTATCATCTTCATGGCCAGATGATGGGAAACTCCATAAACCAAATCCTCAAAATCGCAGTCAGCCTCCATTATCACTTGAAGTCGGGTATTCTGCGGATGTAATGGTCGCATGTCATTAGCATGTCGGACTCCCACTCATGTGGGAGTGGGCACGTTTTCACGGACACGTGGGGGCTCGGGTTCGAGTCCCGATTGCGCCATGGCTCCTGGGCGCTAATGCACTCGATATAGCTCCGTAGAAGAGACGTGACAGCTTGTGTCACGTTCTCTTTTTAATAAAAAAATGAGGTATTGCCGGCCAAAAATTTTCACCTCTCAAGGTCCCCCTTCCAGATCAAGCTCAATAGAAATGACGGGGAACTTAACATATCAGCCTAAGCTTTGCAGGCCGATTTCATGTGAATGAAATCGCCTATTCGATGTGAATCGATGTTCTGTTATGTAGACCACAGGCGGTGACAGGCAATTTAGGTCAGCAGTGGCGACATGGATTTTAAGTTGGGGGAGCAGGATTTTCAATGTCTTTCTGGACAAAATGTGTCTCTCTATGTTACGCACGGCTTTTCTGATTAATACCGCTAGTAAGGTTTTTTTCTTGCTCCACTCTCAGGCAGCATATGCCATACTGGCCACCATTTACGTTACGCGGCGATGATTTTCCGAGTTTTATCGTTAGTCGTCGTTTCCTTCAACTCGATTTTCGCCGTCCGCGTAATTAGAAGTATTGGCTCCTCATTTTTCAGCAAGATCGTCTGAGGAAAGAGAGATAGAGAGAAAGAGAAAGAGAGAGAGAGAGAGAGAGAGAGAGAGAGAGAGAGAGAGAGAGAGGGAAGAGAAGAAAGAGCGAGAGAGAGAGATGATGAGAGAGCGAGAGAGGAGAGAGATGAGAGAGAGAGAGGAGAGAGAGAGAGAGGGTGAGAGAGAGTGGAGAGAGAGAGAGAGGAGAAGCGAGAGAGGAGAGAGAGAGAGAGATGATGAGGAGAGAGAGGACGAGCGATGAGAGAGAGAGGGAGAGAGAGAGAGAGAGGACGAGGAGAGATAGAGAGAGAGGAAAACATCGTGTTAATTAGGGTGGTTAATATACGGAATACCTGGTTTCTTCAAGTATTCCGCATATAACCACTCACCGTCATGCTCGCCCCACGGATTTCTCACAGACACCAAGCAGCAATGAC